GGTTCCATTTGGAGCTATACATCTTTGGATATGTTTCTCAACTGCTCTCAGCCAGTCTCCTTACACACAAAATGCTGGTGTGAGGATGAAGTCAGCTGAAGGTGGTGAAAGGGTCCTATTATACCTTCCGAGCACTCAGTTTATTCCTGAAGATATGAGAAATTTGGCCTGCTTCCCCTGTTTCCTAGAGAGCCCAAGACCCATTTTTATGATGTGGATGGAGGAAGAGTATATATAATATGATTTTTTGTGAATATATATGTGAGGATATGTATTAGGAGAAAAAGCGGACATAATGTATTTGTTTGCTAAGCTGCCATCACAAATCACCACAGCTGGGTAGCTTAAAATAACAGAAATGTCTTGTCTCACAGTTCTGGAGGCTGGAAGTTCAAAATCAAGGTGTTGGCAAGGCTTTGCTCCCTCTGAAGGCACCAGGAAGAACCTCCCCAGGCCTCTGACCCTGCTTCTGCTGGCTCCTTGGCTTGTGACAGCAGAAGTCTCATCTCACATAGCGTTCTCCCTATGTGCATATGTGTCTGTGTTCAAATGTCTCTTCTTTATATGGACACCAGTTACAATGGATTAGAACCCATTCTACTGCAGTGTGACCCCCATCTTAACTAATCACATCTGTAATGCCCTATTTCCAAACAAGCTCACATTCTGAAGTCTCGGGGGTTAGGATTTCAACATGTGAATTTCTGTGGGACACAGTTCAGCCTGTAACCCACAAAAACATTAATAGTTGGTCAATGTTACAGTGATCACTAACTCATTTATGCCTGAGGTTGTAAGTTTTTGAAATTTTTCAATCAGACCTTGGTGATGACCTTGAGCAATAAGATATGAACAAGTCCCACAGGCTTAGCATTCCAATAATAGAGCACTAGGCATACGTGGCTTTGGGTGCAACAATGAAACAAGAAGAGAGCTGGCAATTGAAAGAAAATTGAAAGTTACTAACTCAGGTATATTAAGCCCATTGTTTCCTCATACTCTGTGAAAATATTCAGACACATTGCGCTCCTCTGAAGTTAGCAGAGAAGTGGGGAATTTTAGATTCCAGGCATGGGCTGGGGAGAAGGAAAGTTTAAAGTAGGGGAGGGATAGTGAGGTGCTGATTGGGGGTGCTGGGTAGGGCCCTGCAGACTGGGCAGAGAGTCGGAGAAGGGATGGAGGAGACATAGCAGGTTTCAAAGGGAACCTTTTCATCCTCTCAACTTTCTCCTGTGCCTTTGTGACAGTCACCAAAAGTGTATTAAAAATGTTACCCATCCAGGGTTATCATGAGAAGTGTTATCGCTGCAGCAGGACATTGCCCTGATGCTTAAGTGTCCTGAACTAGATGGTGTTTGAGGGAAGAGCATTGCTTTCCATTGAACAATCTACCTTAGAGATTATTCCATGTGTCAACAAATATAGAATGCATTGACATTTTAATGGGTGCTGAGTATTCAGTTATGTGGATATTGCATCATTTATATTAATCAGTATTCGTGAACATTTAGGCTGTTCACAAATTTTAACTACTTTTTAAATGTAGTGACCATTCTTGTATATACATCTCTGCATGCTTATCCTATTATCTCCTTAAGATAAAATCCTATAAAAACATCCTCTAATTAACAACAAAAAAACGCTATGGATTGGTTTCTTACCTCTCTGTGAATATATGAACCCAGGATCCTGTCTTTAAGAACGATCTCATTCTCACCTCCCTCCCAGCATGCCCGTCTCCCCCTCCTGCACCCCCTCCCAGTTACTGTCCTACCCTAAGTCATATCTGGGTGCTCCTGCCAAATCTATTGCATTGAAGATGGCAACCTGGAGTGTGGAGGAAGGGAGTGATGGTGGAGGAGGAGTTCGATGAATCAAGAGAAGGAAGAAAAAAGTCACATGTGTTCATATGTTATTTATTTTTAATTGCCACAACTTAGAGGTAGGCAATAAAATCCCTAATATACACATTCTGTAGGAGAGTAAGAGCGGGCCTCAGAGCACAGGGTTAGTAAGTAAAGCCAAGGTATGTCTGAATACAGAGGCCCTTTTTGCTAGATTTTATTATTTGTTCAAATGTTATCCGTGTTCTCTGGAAAAAGTATACTTCTTGTCCCACCGCTCTAAGGCTGGGTCCTGTAACTTGCTTGGGCCAATGAAATGTGAGTGGAATGGATAGTGCCACCTCTCAGAAGGGTTAAGAGCCAGTGTGTGTTTGGGCTCCTTTTCTTCTGCTATGAGTCTGCTATACCGCAAATGAGAAGCTCCTTCAGCCTGGATCCTGAAATGCAGAGGATGGGAAATAGAGCGGCAGGTGACCTGCAATGGGCGCTCAGTGTCAGCGAGAAGTAAACGTTTGGTTGGAGGCGTCTAAGTTGGGGGGTGGTGTTTGTTACTGCAGCATCACTAGCCTAAACTGTCTCATACCACCATGCTCTCTCCGTTTCAGTACCTTGCCTCTCTTCTGAGCCTTGCCTTGGTCATTGGCCAGAACGTTTGTATCCTTTCCTTTGGTCACAGAAAAATGAGAGAAAAAAAAAATCTGGCAATGTCCTCTACTAGGTCCATATTTCAACTTATTTTTGGACTTGATTTTTTTAGCGGCTTTTTTCCTTGATTCCCTGAGCTGTAGAGAGATAGACATTCCCACCACACATACAACTCCTGGAATAGGGCACACTGTCCAGAGTGAATAAACACTGTTTTATTGACAACGTGCATTTCCTTTGAATTTTTCCTTCTGAGCCTTTTTTCTAGATAGTTTGATTTTGCTTAAAATCTATTTCTGCTACTATAATTCAAAATGGTAGAAACATAAGTCTAGCACTTCTGAAGCCTGTTTTAAAGGGAGGATTTGAGATGTTTAGAATGCTTCCCTAGTGTGTTCCCCTCATATCTTCACATGGCCGGTGACAAATGAGGGCCTTGATCTAGTACGTTACCCCAAAGTGTAAGAAATGAAGTCATGTGACTGTTCTAATATTATATTTTGTATCAGGTACAAAGCTGAAGTAGAGCTCTGGTCCTTGCTTCTGATCCTTGGTTCATTTTAGAAACTTCCCTGTTGTGTTGTTCAATTAAAAAGTAACTCATTCACTTGTTCAACAAATATTTGTGGTACATACACTAGTAGCCCATACAAAGTTGAAACAAGCAAGGTCTCATCCTCCAAGACAGCACAATTTAGTGAAGGAAGAAGTAAATGTTCTCAGCTGTCCAGAAGGATCAGGTGGGAGGATCGCTTGAGGCCAAGAGTTTTAAACCAGCCTGGGAAACACAATAAGACCTTGCCCTTAAAAAAAAAAAAAAAAGGAAATGCACAATGACAATAGAATAGAAAGAAATCCTCATCTCATTGGCACAGGGACCCAGAAAAAGGACATCTCTACTGGCCTCGAAGAGGGAGATCAAACAATCCAGCAGCAGGGAGGAACACTTGAGCTGAGATTTGGATGACCATGTGGTACCGGCACAGCAACGGGAAAGGACACATCTGGCAGACGAATGGCAAGGGCACAGGCACAGAGCAGCTTGGCAGGCCATGTGAAGGTGGCTTGTGTCTTGAGGGTGGGTACCTGCTCTGCCTCTGCCTGCCCACTTCAAAAGGAACTGACGATCCCAGGTCCCAGGAGAGGCATGGATTTCCCAACCACTCTGGGGCTGACTCCTGCACATGCGAGCTCTTGAGGGTCATTTGGCACTCACTGACCGCCGTGTCAGAGAAGCCCCCCTCCGTGTGCCTGCCGATACAGCTAATGACCAGAAGCCAGTTCCTGGCCGTACTGCCCATCAGCCATGCCTCTTTTTATTTTGACTTCAGCATTAAGTTCTAGCTAAGAAAATTTGGTTGGTGGCTCTGACATGTCAATCCTGACAGCTTAAACTCCACTGTTGATAAACTAGGCTGCTCCTCCCTGCAAGCCTTCGGGCAGAGGCTCGTGGGGGACTCCTAAGCAGTCAGGATTTTGGGGAGTCAGAGTCCGAAGGTGAGTTGTGGAAGGGAAAAAGAAGAGACCTCTCATCACCGTCTCCACAGCAGTGGACTGTAGCAAGGCTCAGCATGAATCGCTAATTATAGCATACCTGTCTTTGCATTTGTTGGACATCCTAACCACTAATTCAGCTAGAGTCCTTTGTTGCAAGCAAAGGAAACCAACTCTGGCTAACTTGAATCAAAAGGAATTTATCAGAAAAACAGGCCAGGCAGAGTGACTCACACCTGTAATCTCAACGCTTTGGGAGGTTGAGGCAAGAGGATCACTTGAGGCTGGGAATTTGAGACCTACCTGGGCAACACAGCAAAACCTCATCTCTACAAAAAGTATAAAATATAAAAATTACTTGGGCATGGTGGCACATGCCTAACATCCTAGCTACTTGGGAAGCTGAGGCGAGGAGGATCACTTGAGCCCAGGTGTTTATGGCTGCAGTGATTCATGATGGCACCACTGTACTCCAGACTGGACAACAAAGTGAGGCCCCCCATTCCCCACTTCCAACAAAAAGCAAAAAACAGTGCTTTTTTCTTAAGCACTCACAGAGTCAATGGCAATTTTAAGAGCCAGGTTTGAAACTGTTATAACAAGGACCACATAGATAGCATTGAGTATGCGCCAGGTGCATTTTACATTTATGTTTTTGTTTTTTGTTTTTGAGACAGTCTTGCCCTGTAGCCTAAGGTGGAGTTGCAGTGAGCTGAGGTCACACTCCTAGAGTGCAGTGGTGTGACCTTGGCTCACTGCAGCTCCACCTCCTGGGTTGTGGTTCAAGCAATTCTCCTGCCTCAGCCTCCCGAGTAGTTGGGACTACAGGCACGCGCCACCACGCCCAGCTAATTTTTGTATTTTTAATAGAGATGGGGTTTCACCATGTTGGCCAGTCTTGAACTCCTGACCTCGTGATCCGCCCGTCTCAGCCTCCCAAAGTGCTGGGATTACAGGCGTGAGCCACCATGCCTGGCCTGCATTTATGAACTCACCTAACCCTCACTACAGCTCTGTTAGGTACCTACTACCATTACCCACCTTTTGTATTTGAGGAAAGTGGGGGCAGGGAGAGTAAGTGACTCACCTAACGTCACAGAGTCAGTGAGCTGGAATTCAAACCCAGGCATTCTGGCTCCAAAGCCTTCCCCAAATGTGAAGAACCAGCATGTACAGGAATACTCTAATAGCAAGGGCCTGCTCAGGGAACTGTGGAACAAACACCCATCTCTCCAGGTCTCTTTGTCTCTGTTCAGTTTTGAACTCCAAGGAGGTATCATCCTACTGGCCTGGAAATAGGGTGTTAACAAATCCACTGAGAAGGAATCTTTTAAAAAATGACTTCATTCCTACCAGCAGTTTGCCAACCGGGGAGACTCAGCCTTCAGTATAAAACAAAGGTACATCTGCCAGAACAGAGAGAAGGGCTGTCCTGCGTAGAAAACGTTTCTGCTCAGGTTCTAATTCCAGTTCCCATTGCCTCTGAGGGAGGCAAGCTTGTTCAGTTCTGATTTGTGGATGTTAAAGTTGACTGCAGGTCACCTTGCACTGGTCAGGTTCAGGTGGCAGAATGAGGACTTTCAGCAGCAGTTGATTCTGGCCGTGTGATCAGGAACAGACAGCTAACCAACAATGAGCTACTGTTCGGCTCGCACAGGGCATGTGTGTAACCTGCAATCAGCAAATGGCTTTTAGCGACGCCCGGAGTTCAGACCTGGGTAGCCCCTCAGGAGCCATCTTGAAGGGCTGGCTCTCCCGGGGTTCACACAGGCATCCCTTGTCGGGGTGAAGGCAGGAGTACTGGAGTCCTAGTTCCAGCCCCACCAGGCTGTACTCAGTGGACAAAAGGCAACTTCTCAAAGCAAAATCGGGGTACCGTTATGGAGGATAATGGAAGGTCAACAGCAGGAAAACAATGGTTCCTGCAGCTGCCAGGGAAGCCCTTTCTGGGGTTCTCATTCTACCCAGAACCACCATGAGTAGAGTGACAGTCCCTGAACCCAGGGCTTTCCATGCACGCTGTCATTAAACCTTGAGGGAGGCCTCTGGGGTGTGTATCATTACCCAGTTCACAGGTGAGGACGCGAAGGCTCACAGAGGGCAAGAAACTAAGTCATGTAAAATTAGGGTTTGAATTCAAGGCCCAGCCCCAAAGCCCAGCTCTAAGGGTTGCTGGAGAAACACCCAGCAGGGCTCCTGAATGGGTGGCTAGCAGGTCAGGGGGCGTCAGCTTATTCTGCTCACAGGGCCTAGGCGGGTGTGGAGCTGAGCTGGTGCCTGGACTTCCAGGGAGCAGGGCACCTCGTCACCATCTGCTGGCTCCTAAATCCGAGTTGCTGGCTCCAGGGAAAATGTGTGTTGCCAGGGAATTCAGCATCCAGTTGGTCAGCTTGAACTCCACAGCACCCATTCCCACGTCTCCAGTCTTCTCAGAATTCCCAGAGCGTTTACTGAAAACTCCCTGTGAGAAGGGAGTCTCCCCTCGCCCCTGGACCAGCTCTCCTTCCCACCTCCCTACATTGGAGGCATCTGAGAAAAGAAAAGGAAGAAAAGAAAGGAAAAGAAAAGGAGGAATGGCTCTGGTTTTCCTCATCTGAAGTGAGGAAGAACCTAAAACGGCCCAAACAAGTGGAACCCAGGAGCTCCCACCACAACAGGACCCCCAGGAAGAGTCTGTGTCCTGGCCCCCAATACAGGACCAGGGAATCAGCTGGGATGAGCAGGCAGCAAGGGGAGGCCACATCAGGAGTGAGACATGGGGGCCCTAGAAGGAGACCTAGAGGACGCCTTGGGCTGCAGCACTGGGACCTTTGCCTAGAGGAGCCAAGACTCATCCTGCCCTTTTACAGCTCCCCAGAACACATGGGCATGAAATCAGTGAATTCAGAAGACACTGTTGAGTGCCCGTACTGCACGGGCTCTGTAGTAGGGACACAAAGATGGTTGAATGGCTCACCCTGGAAGTCCTGACCTAGGGAGGGACACAGGCAGGTAGCTAAGTAACTAGGACCTCAAGCAGACAGTGGTGAGGGACACGGCCAGAGGTAAGCAAGAGGTGATGGGAGAACAGAGAAGACGGACCACACAAGTTCATGGAGCCTGGGGGGAAGACTTCACAAAAAAGGAGGATTTGAGCTGGACGTGGGCTAGGACTGGAGCTGGGTGTGGTAAATGGCGGTGACAGCTGGGACAAGGGCTCATAACTGGGCAAGAAGAAAAGGAGACAGGTCTTTTGGAAGGTAGGTGCTTCGGTTGCAGATTACCCCAGGGGAAGAGACGGGGATATTTCCTGAGAGCAGAACTCCCTCCTCATAGGTGGCTGGCAGATGCTTGTTGAATGAATACATCAGTGAATGGATGAAGGGCTTGACACCCCAGCTGAGGCGCTCCTACTCTGTTCTGCGTGAATCACAGCAGTGGAGACCTTGAGCCCCAAGGGCCTGAAGGAGAGACAAGAGTATGTTCTGGCAAAAACAGGATTTCTTCCTGAAGAAGGAGCGCATCTCTAGTGGGAACAGGACAGACCGGCGCGCCCTGGATTCCTGGTTTCAGCAGTGCACCTGTGGACCTCCTTTCAGTCCCTCCGTATTCGTGTGCTATGGTTGCCAGAACAAAGTACCACAACCGGGTGGCTTAGAACAGCAGAAAGGTATCGTCTCACCGTTCTGGAGGCCAGAAGTCTGGAATCCGGGTGTCGGCAGGGCGGTGCTGCTCCTGCAGGTCTGGGACGGACCTGCTCCGGCCTCTCTCCCAGCTCCTCAGAGGCCCTTGGTAGCATAACTCCAATCTTCACGTGGTGTTTTTCCTTGCACAGGTCTGTCCCTATCGTGTCCAAATGTCCCGCTTCATAAGGACACCAGTCCTGTTGGATGAGGGTCCACCCTAATGCCCTCATTCTAACTGAATCACCTCTTCAAAGTACAGTCACATTCTGAGGTGCTGGGGGTTAGGACTTCAATGTCTAAATTTGGGGGGACACAATTCAGTCCATCGTTTTTCCCCTGAGGCCGGTCCAGGTTACAGGCTTGCATTAAGCAGTGTCTCCAATTGTGTGAAAATGCCAGGCTGCCTTCCCAGCTCAGCCCCCCAGAGGCCTAAGATGAAAGCTTGGATGATGGGAAGGAGCTTCTCAGGCTGTCTGGGCTGGCTCCATCATCCTGCTAGAGGAAGGGGACCACTTTACCCACACACCCCGCGACATCCATGGCTGTCTCACCAGTGAGGCTAATGAGGATGCCCATCTCACAAGCATGGGGGTCTCGACCAGGAGATCAATCTAGGTCTACAAACAGAAAGCCGAAAGCTTCCCAGGCAAATGGTGTGACCAGGAAGTCAGAGCTGTGGTAGTTGTTGGATTCCTCTCTACATTTTACCTGGGAAGACAGCATTTAAGAAGATGAAGGAAAACAGCCACATTTGAGCAACAAGGGGGAAGAAGGAAGATGCAGGGAAAAGACCTGCCTCCATTGGTCCCAGCCTCCCCATGTGGGAAGTAGGACTTCAGGACAAAAGGAGAAGGAGGTCACCTGCCTGGTGGAGGAGTGTGCCTCAGTGGTATCCGTGCCTCTCTCGGGAGGTGCTTAGAAATCAATTTCTCTGCTTACCCAGGAGTCTCTACCTTTTAATTTTTTAAAAAATGAGTCCTTTGGGCCGGGCATGGTGGCCCACACCTGTAATCCTAGCACTTTGGGAGGCTGAGGCAGTTGAATCTCCTGAGGTCAGGAGTTTGAGACCAGCCTGGCCAATACGGTAAAACCCGGTCTCTACTAAAAATACAAAAATTAGCTGGGCTGGTGGCAGGCCCCTGTAATCCCAGCTACTTGGGAAGCTGAGGCAGGAGAATTGCTTGAACCCAGGAGGCAGAGGTTGCAGTGAGCTGAGATCCCGCCACTGCACTCCAGCCTGGGAGACAGAACAAGACTCCTTCTCAAAAAAAAAAAAAGAGTCCTTTAAATTTTTCATTTATTCTTACTATTCTGCCAACAGATGAGGGCATTTTTAACTTATTAGGGATTATTTTCAGCCACAAGTTAAAAAAAAAAAACAGTACCTTAGCACTGAAGGGCAGATAAAAAGGTGAGAGAACTCCCCTGTGGTCCGATTCACAACCTCCTCTGTGCCCACTGATGGTGTGAAACTCTCAGTGAAACTTCAGCTCCTGTTTTTAACACACACCCCATCTCTACTGTCTCCCAAGTGGGACGTCAAGCTGCAGGAGGCGGGCTGGGAAAGGCGAGCAGAAGGAAGCCAAGTGGCTGGGTAGCCACAGGGACAGCGCGCAAGCTCTCTCTGATCCACGCCAGGCACAGAGGAGCTGCTGTAGTACTTCTGGAGAGACCCAGGCAGGCAGACACTTGGTTAGGCTGTGGGACCAAGAATCCAGAGACCTAAGATGAAAGCTTGGCTAATGGGAAGTCACAGTGAAGTGAATCTATGGAATCTCTCTCCTTAGAGAAACGTGAGTCCTGTTCTTGTGTTCTCTCCCGGGGGAGAGCTGCCCACACATCCCTGCCCTGCCAATCCATTCTTGCTTCCCATGCTCTCCCACTCTCACAGAAACATCTTCGTGAGAGTGTGCTTTATGACTGTGTCCACATAACCCCTTCCACCCTCCATCACATTGGGACCCGTGTTACATGAGACCATATTGCTATTCAGGGCTTGGTTGCTTCTGCCTCCCCCAGACGCCCTGCTCTCTGTGGGACAGGAGCAGGAGGAGGTGGCAGTCAGTGTCGCTGGGCTTCACTGCAGTGCGGGGACATAGCCCAGGCTGATGGCAACACTGCTTTGTCAACATTTGCAAATTGGCTGTGGAGGCTTCCTACACAGCTGCACATTTGAAATCCTAATGAAGGAGAGAATGGAACTTGGGTCTGATGACACCACCATTGGCAGACAGGCAGCCCTGCCTGAGCACACAGAATGCCAGGGACAGGGTCCCCTGGAGAATAAAGATGCAGCTGGAAGATGGCGGAATGTCTGAGCCCAGCAGCCCTGCCTCTGTGGGATTTTAGTGGGAAATGAAGTTTTGTCCTCCTTCCATGTTGATTGAATATCCAAAGGGCAGTGCAATGGAGCGCAAAGGGCATCGGCTTTGGATTTGGAAAAATCTGGGTTTGAGTCCTGGCTACACCACTTATTAGCTGTGTGACTTTGAACAAATTCCTTCCCCTCTCTGAGGCTGTGTCCTCTTCTGTAACATGAGGATAATATGGCTCCTCCTTGATAGGTTATGAGGAATCAACGAAATTCGGCATATAAAGAGCTTAGCACTTAGTAAGTTGTCGATTGCTATTGCTATTGCTGTTGATGGGAAGTCACCAGTTGCTATTGATGCTGTCACCCCACAGGAGAGGAGAGGCCATCAAGTCCAGGTTGTGACCAGGTTCAGGCAGGCAGAGCTTTGCCCTGTGGCACAAAAGTGACATTGTTCTCCACAAGATCCACTCTTCTGGCCTCAGGGGATGGATCTGTGTCTGGTGCATGTTGGTTCTGTGGGTGGATCTTGTCCTGAGAACTGCCTCACGGCCCCAGTACAAAGCTGATGATCCAGGTAGAAACAGACCCTCAGTCAGGCACCATTTATAGTGGGTCCTGTGTGCTCGCCTCCGGGGTCTGACCTGGGAGTGCCGGCACTGAATAAATCCGACATGACCTAATTGAGTGCAGAGTCCTCTGAGCAGCAGACATTGAACAGTTCTGTGACCACATGTGATAATAGGTTTTTAAAAACAATAAATGTCATTGCCATTCATAGCAGGCTCAATGATGGTCTCCAAGGACCTCCGTATCTTTATCCCTGGAACCCATGACTGTTACATTGCAAAAGGGCTCTGCAAACGTGATGAAGTTAAGCATCTTGAGATGGGGAGATTATCCTGCTTTATCCTCAGCTGGGTCCAATGTCACCATAAAGGTTCTTGTAAGAGGGAGACGGGAGGATCAGAGTTAGTCATAGGAGATGAGCATGGGAGCAAGATGTCTTAGTCCATTCAGGCTGCTGTGACAAAATGCCATGACAGGGGAATGATAAACAACAGGAATGTACGTCTCACAGTTCTGGAGGCTGGGAAGTCCAAGATCAGTACCTGGCAGATTCAGTGCCTGGCAGGAACTTTTCTTGATTCATACATGGCACCTTCCCACTGTTCCTCACCTCTGGGGCCTGTTTTATAAAGGCACTAAACTTCTTCGTGGGGGCTCCACCCTCACGAGCTCACCACCTCCCAAAGTCCCCACTGCCTGATACCACCTCTTCTGGTGTTAGGATTCAACATATGAATTTGGAGGAGACACAAACACTCAGACCATAGCACAAGAGGTTGAGCAATGCCATTAAGGGGCCACAAGCCAAGGAATGCAGGTGACCTCTAGAAGTCAGAAAAGGCACGGAAGAGGATTCTCCCTTAGAGCCTCCAGAAGGAAACAGCCCTGCCCATACCTAGATTTTAGGCTTGTAAGGCACACTTTGGATTTTTGATCTCTAAAACCATAAGATAATAAATTTGTGTTGATTTAGGCCACTAGGTTTATGGCAACTTGTCACAGCAGTGATGAGAAACTAATGTCCCATAGGAACCCATGACAGAGTGAGCCTGGGGATTCAGGGAAAGGCAGATCCTCCCAGAGGGTTCTCTTCTTTTGCAACAGCCCTAGATAAATGCAGTGGTAGCTCCTTCAAAGAGATCTAGTCTGTGTTGACAGAGTTGTGGCAGCAGGCTCCATGTAGGGACTCTGAGAGTTGGAGGTGGCTTTGATGC